CTCCTAAAATCTAAGCTAATATAAAGACTAGAGACGTGAAATTTGGTGTGGATAGTTCTGAAACAATATTATAAGGTCAGGTCTATTTTACATTACAGTTTATTGAGTAATTTTTAGACAAAATTTGATAATTTTTTTAAAAAGCGACATTTTTATATTCTTTCAACATACCTAAATTTTAATATTCTAAAAAAAAAATATTTAGAAACATCTTTGAAGTAAACTAACTAGACCTGACCCTAAACATAGGCTTAAAGTTCACGAATCGATTATCTGTTTCTCAATATCTCTGTTAGTTTTTGAAATTTTAGCTGTCTAAGTACATATTGTTTTTTCATCAAAATGGCGGCTGTTGTCATGGCAACCATGTTTTTTTACACTTGAAGTTTACAAATGTATCAATATACATCCCTACAAATGATCATTATAAAATAATTGGTCTAACATTGTAAGTAAAAACAAAAAAAAAATTTCCTGTAGTGACCCCTTATTGAAAAGCTGGAGATTTGAATCTGGGCTACTTTCCTGGCACGCAGTCACACTATCCGCCGTACCACCTCTGCTCATATTTATGATGTGTATAAACATCAGTTCCACACATTTATACTAAGTCTGCTAGTTTTTAATTGTTTGAATAACTTGGCCGCCTATTGCATCAAATGCCGGTTACACGAATCCTTCATTACTAGTGTAAATTCCAGAACATGTTTTCGGGTCGTGGAGTTGATTCAGCACTTAACTACAGCCTAATCGTGAATCAAATATTGCACTGGCTCTTAGGTGTTTTCCCGGGATGCTCTTCGATGTAAGGTCAGTCCTGGAAGTTAAGCCTAACAGATCACCCATTAACGCCAAGTAGTTTGTACAACTAATGCGTTACAATTAGTAGTGTCAGGAAACATGTCCCTTAAATGTTCTGGAAAACGTTTCACAGATTACAGGTACGAGAGGAGATTTGGCGTTTCGTAAATTCATGTGACAAAGACTGTTTAAAAGAGTACGTTAACTAGATATTACGTGAACCAGAGATTAGGTTTAAAGTAGTATGTTTAACAGAGACTACGCATAACAGAGATTACATGTACCAGAGGTTGCATGCACGAGAGATTTCATTTACCATATATTGCTTTATATGTTGCCCATCAAGATGATGATGACCACTCTTTTTCATCAAGTATGAGTACGAAGATGACTGATGAGGCCGATGGGGGCCTGAAAAGTTCTTGGACAGTGAGGACAGGGAATGAGTGATGTGCCAAGGAAGGGTTCTTCTTTAGTGCCTTTCTGTCCATCCTTTTCTTAATCAGTCTTGCTGTTATTTGCTTCACATTTAGCCGCACCCTTGTTCAGAGTTGCACGCCATGCATTTCGGTCTTGAGAGGCAGCCTTCCAATTGGTGTCATTCATCCCAAATGCTTTAAGTGAAGACTTCAGTGTGTCCTTCAAGCGTTTCTTGTGCCTGCCTTGGGAACGTTTCCCATTTTGCAGCTCACCAAGGAAGATTTGGGAGGAGGGGGGGCGGGGGGAGGGAGCCTGTGATCTGGCAAGCGTGCCACATGACCAGCCCAACGAATTTGATACATATAACGTGTACTAATAATTGCGTGTTCTAGAAACTACATATCCCATTAATGTTCTAATGTCTGGCTAACTCTTACTTGCCTAACCATTTCTTAGAGTAGGATTTTCATAAACCGTGCATATCTTTTGTTTTCTCCCGCGGATCCGAAGATCGTGTATTCATGTCCTGACGCAGCCGGAATTTGTTTGGCTTGACCAGCAAGGCCAACCCGCGTTTAAGACGAGTTTTCCACAGTTTGTGTTTCTGTGTAGTATTGTTTCATTTGTATGTGCTGATGAAGGCTCAATAGCCGCAACGTTCAAGTTTTGTTTGTATTTGTTATATTGTGAAGCTTACTTATATACTTTTCGTTCGGTTTTATATCTTTTCTTGATTCCATAATTAGAGCATGGGATTTCAGGACAGTTGATATGCATTTGATATGCTTATTCTCAGATTGTCAGCTCTCATCCTTTACAGCTCTGGAACAAATGCACCTAACGAGTACCGATTGACCTATAAAATCTAGACCCAGTCCTATTTGCCCATTACGTTTCAAGTCGTGGCAAATAGTCCTTTATCCTTTTTAATGTGTGTTTAATGTGGCGTGTATGTACTTCAGTTAGCCTTTTCCAATTTTTTTTTCAACACTGTTTTGAGCTCAGTCTGTACAGAATCGTAATATTGACAAACTGACCATTCAAGTAAGTGCAAAGACCACTAGACAACTTCCTCAGGAACGTAAAGTCAGGCTGGTACAAATCTGGGTAATTCAATAGTAATCCAATCTTGCCCTATAAATAATTACCCAGTGTCTGAGTTAAACTGTGTCTGGAACCTAGATCAGTAATTCTCAGACTTTTCTTTCTACTGTTGACCTTTAGAGGAATGTCGTGGGTTCAAGTCCTGACGGTACCTCAAATTTATTTTTATGACCTTGGCTCCCAGATCGACCAAGCTTTGAATGGGTACCAGATGAAGTCCTGGAAAGTAAAGGCGGCCGGCGTAATGCTGACCACATCACCCAACGAGTGCCGAGCAGTCTATAAAATATAGGTCTAGCCCTATATGCCCAATGCGCTTGAAGGCGTGGAACGGGTCTCTTAGTTTCTTACTTGACTTCTAGAGATGAGGGTACTAGCGTTTGCGGCCAAGTTGCCGCTATCTAAGAGGTTAAGCACTGTGCATTCATACTGGAAATCCTGGTTCCAATCGTCGGTTTTAGGGTAAAAATAGAAATCATAACCTGTACAGTTTGTGATGACTGCACTAGATACGAGGTTCTAAATTATCAGCTTTAAAAAAAATTATGTGCTACACCACCCTAAGAAGTGGTAAATACAGGCAGTAAAGGGTGCTTTCTTAATATCCTACCCCAAAAACGGGAAATCCACGGGTCACGAAACAGTCTAATATTTCAGGGGGTGGTAGATAGGCTGCATGTAGTCGTGGGACCTAGTCTGCACTCTCTCGTAAGACCTAGGTGGGTTGGGGTTAGGGCCAGTTCAGGATGTTTTGGGGTCGTTAAAAGCATCAGAAAACCGGGAACTAAAATTGTGGACTGTCCTGTGACGTCATCTGGGGTAGAATATTACGAAAGAACCCAGTAAAGTTACTTCTTATCAAAGTCAATTTGTAAACCGGGTAGTTTTCATCATGCTTTCCTTTTTTTTATCCTGGGTATAAATTTTAAATATTTTTTAAATACTCTCTAATTTAAAAAACATTATTACCAAGTGATTGACCAAACGTGTTTTACGTCGTTTACCAGGGATTTTTAATAGTTATTCATCCTTTTTTACAGAAACTGATAATAAATTTAAAGGAAATACAAGAGTTGAAAATGAACTAAACGTCGGACATTAATCCACTCTGGTCCAATCCTTACTTTATCTTTCTGCCCCAGGGTGTTATTATATTAACTCTTCACACTTAAACATTTAATAGGCAAAGTTACAACGTCTCCAGATAAAATGGGGTAAAGTACCAATAGAACAGAATGGAGCATTAGACTGCGAGCCCTGTGTGACACATAAGGCACAACCAAATTGTGATGATAATTATGATGATGGTGAAAGTAAAACATATATGGATCTGAAAGAGTTAATCTGGCCCTGACCATCCTCACATTTGCAAGGAAGACCAATCGCTGATAACTTCTGTGAATGTATTTCTGTGCATTTATTCCTCGCTTCTCTCACGATTAATTCCCAGGTGCAGGTTGATTGTTATCCGATGTTTTATATTAGCGGAATATATAATTTAATTCTGTCTGTATATGCCTAGATGAAATTTCCCATGGGGATTTAGACATTATTGCTTAGAAAGGTTTTATATCTGGGCGTACTTCGACTGCCTGGCAATAGAAACATCCGGACCACGATTAGAAACCATATTCCCGGGAATTGGCAGTTTTAAGAACATTGACACTCTCTTTAAAATATTGGAAGAGGCTAAGACAGTGTAATGATATTCTGGGAAATTTTTGAATGAAATCTGGCAAGTCTAACCCTATAAACGAATGCCTGAAGAAGTCAGATGGGTACTTTACTTTAAATTCACCTCAAACAAAGATGATCCCGGAGTTTCCGGGAAAGCCCAATATTCTAGTGGTATAATGGGTTGGGGTTACAGAGGGTTAGAGTTAGAGTTGGGGGTTAGTCGGTGTCTCTGAGGCGGTTGGACCTGACAAAGGTCCTAACTCTAACCCCAACCCCTAGAATGTTTGACTTTTCCGTAGACTCGGGGATTTCCTTTGTTTGGGTGAATTAAAAATAAAGTACCGTCGGGTGTGTCGAATGAAAGGCGCAGATATCGCACTTAGTTCCTGCTGAGCTGAGAGCCGATATCACAGTACTCTGGAGACAATGATTGAGCTAGGAGTGATCAGAGGGTTTGGACGATTTTCTGCTCGCAAGGACACAAATCAGATTACAACCGGCAGCAGCAATGTATGTACTCTTCGTTGTCTAGGAAGGAATGGGCGGTGAATGTCGTGAGTGCACTGATGTCAGTTTACAGAACGCTTAGGTTTCTTGTAGCCGCCATGATTCGTTACCTCCGTCCTGAACTTTGTAAGCAGAAAGATATGATTCTGACATTATTGCGGTTTCCTGGTAAAATAGGCAGTTGTTTTTGAGTGCTACTGAATTTGTACTTCAGCTATAAAGGATTCACTTATTTGCTTCATTTATTTAATTGTTACTATAGAATGACCCTGACGAGATACAGCGAAATATGCCAGGCAATAAATTTGGCAATTTATTGCGTCTTATTTGTTCAACTTTACAACATTGCCTGGAGCTCTTGATTTATTCATGCATTCATACAAGATCCTCCTTAGGTGCTTCTTAGGTCGTGCTAGTAGTGATCATTTTGTAAACACATTATTATATGTGTATGTGATCATTGATGGTGACATCATCGATTTTTTTTTCAGAGCTGGCTTTACTGAAGAGAATGAACTGCTCAGTGTCACATCAATCAAGGTCAGTGGTATTATCGTAACAATATTTAAACTGGTTGTATGTTGTTGTTGTTGTTTATCTTCAAATATGATTATAACATCCTACATTTATTTCTTAGCACACGTTGTTGTACCATAAGAGGAGGAAAATGAGAATCGGTCCATATATAATATGGGACTTTTGTTATGCATCACTATGTGTCAAGTGTCAAAAAAAATGTATCCAAGCTTTGAAAGAAATCCCAGTGAAATGTGACTAATAAATGTAACGAAATGAGGAGGCAGAAAAACAACACAAATCGACATTTCGACCGGGGGAATTTCTAGACACTAAATGAACTACACAACAGTAACCTTTTTATGTTTATTCAAGGGATCAACATCATAGCACACGGATGTAACTCATTAGTGCTCCATTCTACTTCTAACTCAACCCTGGGTAGGAAACTCTCAGCGCAATGCACGAACTCCGTTGCTCCGGCCAGGATACTGAAATACTCTGGGTATATTTTTAACTCAAAATTTCGCCTGGGCAGCGCCGTTAGGCTACTGTTTTGCGATTTTTAACTGATAATATGTTTCTTATGCACGCAACAATACGCACGGGCATCCAGTCTTACTACCCAGAGACCAGAGGAAATTACTAGACGTCCCCATGAAAAACATCACAGCCTTCACTAGGGTTTGAACCAGGGACCTTCAGCACTCGAGGCGGTTGCTATACCTCGATACCGCCACCGCTGTTTAGCTCATTTCGAGTCGATTTGTGTTGTTTTGTGCACGTTTTTCTGCCTCCCCATTTCGTTTAGCTTTTTAGTAACAGTTCACTTCAATTCTTTGATATTAGCTTGACTGCAGTCACCCCTATTTTTCACCACTTTTTGAATAAATGTGTGTGAATTGAGAAATAAGACATAGAGTTCTTAAAAACTCATAATAGAATTCCGTCCCAATATGGAAGCGATATTTTGTCATTTTAAAGCCCCACCAACACTGTAGTCAGGACCCTAATATAACCCAGGTCCCTCTGTATATAGAGAAGGCCGTGTATAACCTTACGGTTGAACGGGGTTTCTGGGACTTGTGCCAGAGGGAATTCGCATCCGAAAGGTAGCATTTTGTGTCACGAGTGTTAATCGTTCGTGGAGTTGAACATCAATCAGTCTGTTCTTAAAAACTACAAAGCTAATTATGTTGTTAGCGGTTTGTTATGGAAATGCGGTACAACTACAAAGATGCTTTTAATGGCTGAATATCTTCATATACAGATAACCCTTTTAATGGCGATGTGTTGAGAGAAATTTGCTAGCAATGTGAATTGCGTAAAAAATCGTTGGACAGGTCATGAGAAAAGGGACAACTATAGTACGTCACAAAACAAGAAAGTAGGAGAGGAAAAATATCCAGAGGTAGACCAGTATAAAAGAGGTTAGTCAGTTTAGCTTCATGGCATGGGTAACATTGATATCAGAAATGACTGACAATTCATGAGCTGTGGACAGGCAAGATGACTTAAGCAACACAACACAGACTATAAGTAGAAAATCTTGGGCATATCTGTTCAGAGAATAAACATATAATCGTGTGGAAACAACGTAATAGAAGCAAATCACTGGAATCCACTTCTATAAGAGAGCTGTCGAAACACAAATATAGCAGAATTGATCGTAGAAAACGAAATCAGTGTTTTCTAGGACCTTGTCCACAACGAAGTTTAGCTATAATGGGTCTCTGTAATCCTGTCGCTTGTTCCAGTTGTATATGCTGTTATCTATATATCTCTTAACTCTTTCTGCACCAGGAAACTCACCATGACGTTGCTAGCTACTCTTTGCAAAATATGTTTTACTTAACTCTGTATTCCTCATCCAGCTCGTACATAAGCCCAGACAATCACAATATTTACTGTTACTCATTCTCATTTGCATCCTGTTGTGTTACTATTTAAAGCTGTTTAGACCCTGTCTTGTTGTATTGTTATTATTTAAAGCTGTTTAGACCCTGTCTTGTTGTATTGTTATTATTTAAAGCTGTTTAGACCCTGTCTTGTTGTATTGTTATTATTTAAAGCTGTTTAGACCCTGTCTTGTTTTACTTTAATTAACAATCTTTCGGATGCAATGAGCTGAATTAATCCTTGAAAGAAACTGCAGGTTTCGTTCGTGTTAACGAGTTATCCACCCACTTGTTGCATCTTCTATTCCGTTTCTTGAAGTTGTTCCAAAAAGTTCATTTTAAAAAGTAAGGTTGCTTGCAATGATTAATCCAGCCCTCTCTGTCTCGTCTGTCTCTCGCCCTAGATTTATACTCTGAGAATGGTCTTTGTTGATCTCTTGGTATTATTATCTGTTTGTACCACTGTCTAGTGATGTTTACTACCCACTTGCATCTCTGCCTACCGCTTGCTCGCCTGCCTTTAATGTGTCCTTCAAATATGCTTCTTTTAAGGGACTTATCTGTTAATGTTAATACTTTTTTTCTGCCTCCTTTTTATTTGTTTCAGAGAACATCTTTTCATTCTAGTTTCTCAAAAATCACTTTTTCGGATGTTTTTCCCCATGAAATACCACATTTTCTTCCTGGCCTCATTTCGATTGTTTCATTTATTTTAATTTATGTGGTCTCTCTGCTATATATTAATAAAACAATAAATATTTTTTTTACATGTAGTATGTTGCCTGGTATTTATTTCTGTTTCGCTTTCATCGGCTGTAAACTCCGGCCGCAAAGTTTTGGTTGTTTGTCCACTTTTAGACTATAGTCTTGTTCCAGAACTTGCATTGTACATGCACATCCGTTTTACAAATATAACTTACCTGTGTGCAGACTTTGTTTCTTGCCTCTCAGACAGATGCATCCCGACTTCGAAGGAAGTTGTTTATTTTATGGAGATTTGTTGTGCCTATTTGTTCGCCATAATATGCAGTCTTTAATATTTATGGGAGACCGTTATTTCATTCATGTTCGTAATTTCATGTTTTGTTCTACCTAATTATGCATTTACTTATTTTCAGTTCTAATTTTATTTCAATTCTATTATATGTCAGTGATAGTTGGAAAACTACTGAAGATGGATTTTTTTTTTTTTTTTTTTTAATACGGGAAGAATTAATTTTTCTAAACCTAGTAAGGAGAACTGTGTCGTCTGCATATCTAAGTTCCAATTTTTAGTGGATCAAAGCTCTCACATGCCTCATCGCTAATAGCATTTCTCATAACATTTTCAGCATATATATTGAAAAGGGAGGGTGGAAGAATGCAGCCCTGTTTCACTACTTTCTGCACTTCAAACCATTCTGATGTTTCACCAGCTACTCTGACCGCTGCTTGTTGTTCGTGGTAGAGAGATTCCAGATGATTTGGAAATCCCATGCCTCTCATTATATGCCATATTTTATGGTGCTGCGAACAATCAAATGCCTTGCTGTAGTCTATGAAACAAGTATAAAGATATATCTTGTATTCCCTACACTTTTCTAGGATGATTCTCATATTGAAAATATGGTTTCTTGTTGCCCTGCCACGTCTACAGCCCGCTTGTGTTTCTTGTAGGGCAACAAACTGTAATAACAGCTATAAAGACAAAAAAGATGGCGCTATTTTGAAGACATCCTGGGAAAGAGATGAGCAGAAAATCAACAAATGGGCACTAAAATATGAGATAAAGGCACTGAGGAAGCGAAAATGTCTCAAAGAGCATACCTGTCTCCACCTTTCCTAACATGCTGTGCGAGTTACAAATACCAAATTTATGACAGCTTGCCCTCAATCCGCCTCCACTTCCATTCTCAGACTAGATGTCGTGGTTTCATATGTCAAGCCTTGTTGCACTAAGTGAAGTCCATTTGCTTTTGCTAAGAACCCTTAGGAACTTCGTCCTCCTCCCAGCGCAAAAACTATCTGTAGAGATAATCACATCACCTGTAAGAGACTTTTGCAAGCAACGGAGAGAGTCGAAAGAGAAGACGAGGGAATGGAGAGAGAAGAAGGCGTAGAAGTAGCAGATCAGGAGCTCCTAAAATCATACGAAAAAGGAGCGTCTGGGGTTAAAGCATGTTACACTAGTTGACTGGAACCGTCGCAGCGACAAGCAGAGACGGCCTCACTGGAGAGGCTGATTTATGACTTTGATATCATCATGTCCAAAGGAAACTACTGCTGTTGCATTTCAACCTTTATAATAGCTCGGTATCTCATATCAAAGAGGTTATTCGCCTCTTGAAAACCCTGCTCAAAGCATAAACCAGTGTAGCTCAAGTGACGACGCTATGGATCTCCGAAACATTCAGACTTCCAAAGTACAGTCTAAAATTAAACTAAACCCATGAGAGTGGAAGCAAGTGGCGTAACCACTATACAACATTTTGCTCAAAGCATTTAAGTACACCAATAAAATACCCTATACAGGGTTTCCTCAACTTAAGACAGACTTCCGTTTCGATTAACAGGTCGTAAGGCGAACTGGTCGTTCAATAATATTTTTATTCAAACAGAAGATATAAATTTTTACACGAAACACAATAATTCAATTTACGTACTTATAATTATTGCAAATACTGTGAAAAAATGCATAATGTATACACTGTTTCATTAATTCCGGTAATTGTTTTTTTACTCTGCCAGTCTAGTTACCTTTCTTTCTTTATTTTATTGAATAAAGGTTGTTTTATTTTATGTGGTCGTAAGTTCAAACTTGCGTAAGTCGTTTAAGATGTAAATAGAGGAGAGGATTACAGTAAAACCTCGGTAACAGGAACTCGCTTAAGGCGAACACTCGCTTAACCTGAACAGCAGGAATCTACGAGAATTATGGCAGTGTATTAGTCCCATGGTAGCACGAATTTCGTTAGAATGAACTTTCATTTTTCGGTGTCTGGGAATTCGTGTTGACGAGATTTCAGGGCAGTAGCAGTAGTTTTACATCTCAAACAAGATAGGTGGAGGAAGGGATCATGAGGCACGGGCAACATTTGGTTTTTAGCTGTGGAGAGGAGGACCTTCATCCCTGACCGTAGTAGGTCT